TCAGTCTGTATCCAATCCCCTTGAATTTTGTCTGTTCCATTGTAGGACTCGAATAAAATATTTAGATAAGTAATTGCTTTTGGTACCCAAGAGGATACTGTCGCTGATAATTAGATACATTTAAAAAAGATGTTCGCAAGTGAATCTCGGGATAAATGAACAAACCCATGCAGTGTCCAAATTGTGTTTATGATAGACGGTCACATACGAAAATAGGGCAGATAGTAAAAAGACAGTCCTTCAACAGTTGGGCTGAAAAGACGGAGACTGGATGTGATTGATTAGTTCTAAGAAAGAAAATGGCGCATGAGAATGGACCGCCCCTCAGAAGAGAGCATATAATTGTTCAAGGCCTTCCTCGTCAAGAGAAGCTATTCGCCGTAGATATGATCATATTATCTCTCTGATGGCCGCAGAAATTCACGTCAAGTTCACGAGTTAGTGTGTGGCCATCGTGAACGTTCACAGTCCGCTTAGAGCAGCAGAGAGAAAGTGATATAGAAATTACGAGAGGATTACCGAAGCGCGATGAAATGTGACCATGTACTTCATTGCTGATCAGACAAACCATCTAAATGTAGCGAATGCAAGAATACTTCATAATGGTCAACAGATCGATTAGGGTCGAAGTGAGGAGGGGAAGTTAAAAGGCGCGAGGATAAGTGCTATAGAAGATAATATCGATGCATTTAGCATTCAAATGAGAGTTCCCAGCTAACCGAGTAAGGCATGTAATGTCTACCCCATAAATTCCAGAAATATCCTTTCCACAGTCATAAAAATGCGCGTTCGGGACTAAAGCAAACAATAACTACCTAATTCTTGATGAGGTAAGGCGCTTACCCAATTTTTATTTTAATACCTAAAATGTGCACGATGCCCTGGCTTTAAACTGAAGATTATTCAAGAGGGGAGCATATTTTGGTGCAAAATAAACCCAGGCTTAGAGGTAGAGCAGAAAGGCGGCGAAACCACCATGGAAGAAGCACGAGTGACATAAGGCTGACCAACTTCCATACGGGAAAGATTAGGGTTAGAGTTAATACCACACGTTCAGCAAAAACCAGCCCCGAGTCTTCTAGACCATAAAAAAACCTTGTGTCCCCAAAGTGATAGTTTCCACTATAAGAGATATTGGCCTCAGCCCGAGAGAAAAGTCTTTGAGTGAAAACATTTGAAAGGTTATCCTATGGTCACAGGCACTCATTAAACCAAAGAATGGGCAGAGATATTGGAGGGTCGGAAGAGCAAGCATGCGGTAAATTTTTTCATATCTCACGCAGAAAATTATGTTAGATGAACCGGCATACTTACGCAACCTCTGAAACAACTGGATCTGACTGAGGTGACAAAGCTCGATTATTCGTACAGCTTAGCCGAAGGTCCTTTATGGTCTATTCTGCGAGTGGGTCACTTCGTAAGACTGTGGAGCCAGTACGCTTCTCCAGATAGAAACACATCAAACTACAATTGGGCGAATAAACGTCCATCGAGCAAGTTTAACTCCACTTCCACAAGCTTAGTAGGTCTGAGTTATTTTTTTAACGGAAAAAATTGTGTTTTCCTTAAAATATAATCGAACACACTTAGTGTCATTAACATAAATGGACGCTTGCGAATCTTTGATCGCTGTCCAAATATCGTTGTTGTAAAGAAGTAAGGATAGCGGACCCAAGACTGTGCCTTGAAGTACGTCCCTCGTGGTCAAGTGAGATGTTGAGTAGCAACTGCTCATCATAACCTTCTTCTAGTAGTTGGATAAAAGCACTGGATGAAGTCTAATAGTGGACTCCAAAGGTCGAGTGTTTCCTGTTTTATTAGAGTCATATATGCGGCACATTGACAAAGGTTTTACTAGCATCAAAAATAGATAAGTAACATGGTTCTCTGTTCATTATAAAGACAAGTGATAAGACGGCGAAAAGCCAAGTGACAAGTTTCGCCACATTTTCCATGCAGAAATCCATGCTAAGCTTAGCTCCGTAGCCTATTAGCTAGACAGAAACTGTCATGTCCGTGCTGCACGCCATCAAGTGAGTCGTTATGGATATTTATGAAGATCTCTCCTCCAAAATTTTCGGGACATTCTTGAGGCTACGTTTGAAATGCTTCATTCAAGCCAGAGGACCATGGACATTCCAAAATCCAAATATTCTTCAAAACGTTTAACGTAGGATCACCAAAATGGTCAGGGCCGCAGCTCATTCCCTAAAACAAACCGCCTAACAAACCTAAGTTCTTTCCTTTGAGATAGTATCCCACATCAGTGACCCCTGCGCAAACTGAGCCGCACAGGCGTTAGGGATAACCTCTTAAAATGGATTCAAAGCTTCCTATTTGACCGTCCTCATGCTGTCCATGTCGGTAGCCAGCAGTCGACGGAGGTTGCCGTTGAAAGCGGTATTCCCCAAGGCTCAGTTCTTGGCCCTACTTTGTTCATCATTTACGTCAACGATTGCGTGAGTGAACTGGATTGTGGTGTCGCCATGTTTGCGGATGACATTAAGCTCTGGAGCGTCATTCGAACTGCAGATGACGAAGAGCATCTGCAGGCGAACCTAAATCGACTCCAACAGTGGTCAAAGGCCTGGCTTCTGCCGTTCAACGAGAAAAAGTGTAATATTCTACGAGTCGGCAGAGCTCGCTCTCCGAACCATATGGCCTACTGTCTAAATGGTATACCACTGCAAGAAGTGGACTCGCAGAAGGACTTGGGAGTATGGATTACGACCTCGTTCAAACCCTTGCTGCACTGCACGAAGATAGCCAAGTCTGCAATGTCAGTCCTCTACCTTGTCAAGCGGGCTTTCTCTGCCTTTGACGAAGACTGCTTCGCTAAAGTCTTTCGAACTTTTGTGCGTCCGCAACTAGAATTTGCTATCCAAGCTTGGAGACTCTGGACTGCGAACGACCTCAGCATCCTCGAAAGGGTTCAAAGGCGTGTAACCAAGCTTATGACAGGACAGGGCTCACAACCATATGCAACGCGGTTAGCTAACCTTGATCTCTTTCTCTTGAGTTAGAGGCAGTTACGGGGTGAACTGATACAAACCTTCCGTATCATACGCGGTCAGGACTGCAGCCACGTACCGGGAGACTTCTTCGAGTTAGCAACCACCACAAACCTACGAGGTCATCCATTCAAGCTACGTGGCAGGGGCCTGGCTGGACACACAAAAGTTCTTGTCTAACACAGTGCTAGAAGCCTGGAACGCCACGCCTCCAGATGTCGTTATGTCTGTTTCCGTCGAAGTCTTTAAGAGGAAAAGAAATTTGTATAACAGTGTCCACTAAATTACCACCCAACCTCTGTAACCTTGACAAATCCCGTGGTTATAATGCTAATTGCTATATTTCGGTAACATTTTAAACTGAATTTCTTATTGTCTCCAATCCATAGTCCACGCTTACTGGCATGCACCTATGTAACTTTTGTCACTACGGATATTGTTTATTTCCCTGCACTCCAAACTACCGCTATCCTACTGCTCGTACCAATAACATTCGAGAAAGTTTGTCTATCTGCACAAAGTTCACGCTTATCCGATTATCTGTTACCTTTATGATACCTTTTCCAGTTCCAGAGATTTTTCAGTTGCTTGTAAGCAAATGGGGAGTTCAAAGGTGAAGACCTATATTTCCCTCAAATAAAACCGAAATGAGATACTGGTATATTTGCGAGGGTCTTTAGAGATCATTTGTCGATTGACAAGGGACTTAATTGCAGTCTTGTTTTTAAGGACTATCATGAATTTGCCACCGCGACTAACCTCCGAGGTCACCTATTAAAAGTGTGCAATCATCAGGCGAGATCGAGTGGTCATACCAACGAACGCCCTGCCTGTAGATGCTAAGATGCACTATCAGTGGAAAGTTTCAAAAGATATCATGACAGGTATGTGTTCCGAAATGGGCTTAAACGATAACAGATTGAACTCGACCCTTGCTGCTCATCCGCAAATGTTCATATTTTATGGTCCCATATGCACTATTACAACCCACACGGTTTCGCCGTAAACTGTGTCCGATGTTACGCCGCAAATAGGTTACTCGGCGGTTTACGCATATTTCACTGAATATACTTAACTAAATATTGCTGGTCGCCGTGGACAGTTGCCGAGATTCCAGTCTGGCACTGGCGGACACTTCGCATGTTTCAACTGCCATTATAAATTAAGAAAATACGAGGCGTTTTAAGAGGCATAATATGAAGATTATGGCCAGATCAGCTGTGTGAAATAAACAGAAGAAATACTCAGTCACCCGCTGATTTTGAGAATCCTTTAGAGCTGTCGACAGACAGGCAGCCAGCCGGAGGCAGTCTCTCCTTGCTGATATTAAGCTGCTAGTTTGTGAGAATATGCGTATCGTTGAGTCAAATTCAACGTTTTTTAACGACGACTTGTAAGAGCACCCAGCAGACCGGACTCGAGGAAAATAAGTCCTCGAAGGGCGAAAATTTTTAACTAAATTTGGAACAGACGCAAGGCCGTGAGAAGTTCGCGTGATATCCCATCTTGCCAGCACTGTTATTTAGGCCTGTACAAACCACCATCTGAAGTCCGTATTTTTCTGCATATGTGAAGTCTGGACGTTTGCCACGCATCATACCTCACTCAGTCTCTGACCCTACGTCGTCTAGAAGCTCTTCCCTTTGTTAAAGTCTTCTCCCAATGTGCGAAAATCCAAAAGAGAAGCACAAAAAATTTTTGGAAAAAAATTGGAAACCCCACAATAGATTGTATATTTTACGATATATTTGAGAATTTGGCTCTCATCGTTTAAATGCGTCTAGTGAGGTGACGAATTTTTGAAATGCCTTAATTGTTTTCCTTTTGGTGTGTGTGGGCATGTTGACCAGGGGGCCCGTGCGTTTTCTTTCAATAGACCTCTTTCGTACTTTGATTTATCCAAAACCAGGATTACCAAAAATCTATTCGGACTTTGGAAAACTGTTGTTCAACTTTGATTTCGATGAGGCAAATGTCTCGAAGGCATTCATGGAAGCCTATGCTGCTGCGGAGCACCGTTGGCCGAATTTCGGAAGCGTAAATAAAATAAGCGCATCTGAGTGGTGGCGCGAAGTTGTAAAGATATCTTCTCGTATCTAGCTTTGTGAGATTATACGAACCTTTCAGAACAGTTCATCGATTAGCAAGGCTGACGTCCGCCGTATCCTAACAGTTGAACGAGCGAATGAAATCTACGATTGGTTTGCGGGATCAAGCCCCTGGGCCCTTATGCCCGGGACACTTAGGGGTCTTGATAAACTAGCAGACATGGGGCTTTATATGTGCATTCTATCCAATTCCGATGAAAGGACTCCCAAAATTGTTAAGAATTTGAACATCGATCAGTATTTCAAGGTAACAACCCGTAATTCTTTTACTTATCATGCTCATCGGCACCTGTTAGTCTTTGTTTTCGATTCCATGTTTTATTAGATGTGTTCAGTCCTTAATAGAATGTATGACTTGTGAACGTTTAAATTACTTGTCTTGTCGCTGATTGATGGTCACTTAAGATGTCTGTAGCGACCTTACTTTACTCTCAATAAGCTTGTACATCGTACAGCTTGCTGTTTATTGCAGAAGTGGTGACAAAAGTCGACCTTCATTGCCCTTGTAGGCTGCATTTTTACTTTTGTCTTTCGGTAAACTGACTGACCGTCAATGGTTAGATTTACCACTAACTCCGCATTACCTAGGAGAAACACTTGTGACCGCAATATTATTATCAATTGATGCTCGAATCCTGTGTGGGCACACTTGCCGCTGCCCATCGTCTCCATTCGCGGGGTTCTGGTGCCTCTAAAAGTGTCTGTGGATCTGTGGGCGTGTTCAGTAAGACTGCCTTGAGAAATTATAGAAAACTATAGAGGGGAATATGGGCTATATTAGGATTAGAGCCTATTCGCTTAACCACCTGAACACATACGGGCGTGGCAACTAAATGCGCAGGCCCCTTTTTCTGTCTACATAACGCATTCCGGCTGGCTGTTTACGTCAATTTTCGAAGGTCGTGTCGTTTCAAGTACGGCGACCGAAACATATGACTACAACATATCGTCTGTCAATGAATTTTCGAAGTATAAGTGCGCCGACTTGATGTCGACTGCCACTGTAGATACGAAACGTTCAATTGGCTCATGTCAGAGTCTTGCACGACGTAAGCCGCATGCATTTCTCATTCTTTGGCGACACAAACGCGTCATCGACTAACATGGATCCCCTCCTTCATTCATTTACATCGTAATTTCCATCCTTGTTTCTTCGACATAACCCTCCAGTGACCGTGATGAACTTTCATCGACTGATGTTACTCAAGCAGCGATAGTCGACAATCTCCATTTTCATTCGTTTTTCACACGCGCAGTCGGGCCTTTACAATCCTATGGCAGAAGTGATAGGATCTTTGTGACGATGTAAATATTACAACGGTCCGCGTCTGCCTTTGTTAGCCTTGCGGATCTTTTACCAACAGCATAAATTTGAGCCCTTATTCTGTTTATTTAGCGTTAACTTCGTTCCCACATACTTCTTCAGACTGAGACATTGCTCCCGACGTGTGCTTTCTTGTCCACATTATGGCCCAAAAACACATTAGTCTTCCAAGTTATTGACGGATGGAACGACTGGTTTAGCGAACTCACCCACCTGCATTCCAGAGGTCATCACAAGTTGGCATTGGCAGAGCGATATCGTCAGCGTAGTCGACGTCAGTCAGCCGGCGTCCAAGTGCGAATTCCATAAAGCCTTTCAAAGGATCTAGTCAGTGGCACAACCAGAGATGATAGGTGACGAAGTGCAAACTTTCGGATGATTAGTATCGACTATAATAAGCTAGGAATCAGACGTTAGTAAACCAATAACAAGCTTTGGTCACGGATAATTCTTGGTAACCTACAGTCTAGAAGGACTCGTGATGGGCGGGATCGAATACAGCGATGACGCCAGTAGAGCAAATGACTGTCCATTGGCAGCCATCATGGAGTACAATGATGCTCTGCAGTGTAAATCATTGGTCAGTGCACCTTCGTCCAGTTTAGTTTGGTATCGTCCTCCATTTGTGCACACTTCGAAACGCTTTGGAATTTGCACTAATAGTGACTGAGCGTCAGTCCTCGAGAATCGTCGCATTTCCCAACGCCTGCTCAATCATTTCGTGAAATCAGGGCTCCATTATCACATGGCTTTCGGATTCTGGCGGAGGAGTCGTCCTCTTCGACAGGTTTATAACGCGGCCTCAGTGTTTTATTGGTTTCTTCCCGTGAAGCAGGTTCGGGTAGCATTCGATAGACTGGAAAGGGGATGGACCTCGTCTTAAGAGGGAAGTGGATGATGAGATAGCGCTCGAGTTGTTCACTCAGTGCTCGACCTTGGGCGAGTTATCAGCAAGAAAGTTGTAATCGACATTGTGCGCAGTCAGTTAGTAAACCAAAGTGCCACTGCTCTTACAAGTGTTTCGCTGATCTCGGTTTCTTCCTGTATTATCGATGGGTCGGTGTCAGGGCGGAGTAAGCCATCTTGTACAACTTGCCGGCGTCATGCTATCGCATCCGCGGGTACTCGTAGTCGCTCCGCAAAACGTGATAGGACACTGGAATTGGACCATATGTTCGATCGCTGAAAAACCTGGACTCGAGGCGCTGCCGACGCTGTAAAGATGTTCAATAGGTTCTTTCCACTCATCGACCACTTCTTGAACCTAGAGTTTCATGTCTGACTTTTGTTGGTTCATCAGAAGATCCGCATGTTTGGTGGTTTCGTCACCCATTTCGTAAAAATATGCCTGACACCGCGTCCGTGACATCCTCTAAGTTGGTTTTCCATACTCAGTCACCTGTTTGCCAAACTGACCTTTCAGAGCATTTTAATTAAAGACACATTTGTACATAAGAGCATTTGTAAACATATGTCCGAATGCATGAGCCTATTTTACTGCTCACAGTTCTCTTAAGCCGGTTTTTACGAAGCCTGCTTCAGAGGGACTGCGATTGGAGGAACAAACTTGAATAGTCGTGTCCCAAACACTTTTCTCCAAGTCTGCCCGCTAATGTCAGACAAGATCTAATTGGTTCTTTTGAATGCTACCAAAAAGCACATGAGTACGATGAATGATCCACCGGCACACTGATCATGCGTGCTCATCAGCACTTCAAGATTGCTTCATTTTCGAGGACATACACGTGTATTTATCTGAGTCCTTCATGGATTCCCACACTTCGTACAAATCGCTCCATTTATCGCACATAATTCTGGTCGTCCGATGTCACTTGCATATACAATACCTCCGAACGACGCCGACGTCCCGATTGGTGAGGGTCAGCCCCAGTTGCCATTGGTTAAAACTAGTTCAAAACAGTTTCATGACAGTTCAGCCGTGCACAAATGGTTCAGTAATCACGCTGTTGTACACATGTGAAACCACCGACGTCTGAATGAGTGATAGCATCTGCCCTGTTGGCTCGCGATCAGATCCTGAGCCGATGCCTGTAATAGCTTATAGTGGGCACTGATGGAAATTTAAATCGCGCACTTCTTAGAACGCCCTTAGTCGGAGATGTCATGGTGTCTTGTATTCCCTTCCATCCGACACAGTTTATCTTCTTCTCTGCCTCCTCCGCGTACATGAAACCAGACAAACGCATCTTCCACTGCGTTGCGGAAAGGTTTGGCCAGACCACAGGCGAGAATCTTGACTTGGAGACCTGTTTACGCCACTACGCTCACGTCGGCGATTCAGGGGTGCGAGACTACTGGGGCGCCGTGCAGGCCGGATGTGGTGGTGGCGCCTTCCTCTTTAAACCGCAGTTGGGCGACCATGGAAGACAGTCTTCGGCTCATGCCAATGCTGCCACCACTGACTGGGCGTACACGGAACCGGATCGGCCAACCGTGCCTCCGTGCAACATCGTGTCCTCGCTGCTGGAACTGGCTAATCGTCTCGAAGTGTATAATCACTTGTCTCGGGGGGATTCGTAGTTGAGAACATTGATGATTCGTTGTGCGAGACCCAATTGTTTTCATTGCGCACAGCTCTTTCCTCCCATCTTCCTTCTGATCTCCTTCCTCATTTTCTCCACCATCATTATCCAACTGGTCCTCCATCTCTGCACAAACATCCTCCCCACCCCCCTAACTTGACCTTCCCCTTGTCCCCTTCTTTTCCAGTATGCCGGTCACCACCGACCTTCATAAATGAATAGAGACATTTGACTCCTGTGAGCTCCACTTCTCCTTATTATTCCCTGCCTCTCACCGAGGTCTCCTGTCTGGTGTGGATATAAGGGATTTGCCCGGTCGATACTCAAAGCCCTCTCCTCCAAGCGTGAATTTTAGCCGCTCAGTACATTTGTTTTCACAGAGCCCGGTAAACCGGTGACAGATTGGTGTTTGCTGACGAAGGCCTCGTTCGATGGCCGCGTTTCCCGCGGTTGATATGAAATCTATTAGGCTTGGAGACTGTGACGCGACCGGAAGCGAGTTTGAATGCCGCGGTGACCACCCAGTTTTTTTTCACAATTGGGTAGTCGGTTAAATTGTTCATGTCTGCTAAGAGTGCCTACCACGGTCCCAGGCTTTAAATTCTCAAAAGCCATCAGTCACAATGTTGACTTAGAATGGGCCTTTTGGGTATTCCTTCGTTGATGCACAGTTTAGGTGCGTCAGCACTTGACGTAGACCACACAACGAATAAATATCGCAAAGCGCGTCAACAACATCTCGTTATCAGACTGTTACTGATGTGACAATCCGTTCGTCTTCATGCATCGATAAGGTCCAATATCCAGACGGCGACACCGACCTGCCACGCCCTTACTAACCTGCGAAAATAGGGCAGCAGCAGTGGACTCGAGCGAGAATTAGAAGAAGAATCAGACAAATACGTCGCCGCATCCAGAAATCGCCCTCTCTTGTGTGTATCGTTTGAGGGCAGCACACCGGCCAGCTTGCGGAGCATGTCTCGTCTCGAACGCTCTACCACTGAGCGACGGGCCCGTTGTCCTGTCTGTTGTGATCGCGAATATTAATCATGGTAGATGGGCGCTCACGGGACAAGCATGTTCCGCAACCTGATCGGTGAGCGCCTATCTACTGTAATTAATATTCCCGATCACAACCGACAGGACAACGGGCCCGTGACTCAATGGTAGAGTGTCAAACTCCATGACCAAAGATCCCGGGTTCGACTCCCACTTGGTTCACACTTGGGATTGGACATGACTGGCTGATGACGGCTAATAAGCCAGAAATGACCATTCCCTTGTCTTTGTCGGCATCACTAGTCGCTATGCGACTGCCTGCGAGGGTTCTATTTTGAGCCCCAAGGCACAAGCATGTTCCGTAACTCGATCGGTGGGTGCCCATGTACCATAACATATATATACCCCAAAAGGTAATGTCCCGGAGACTTAACTCCATGTCCTGCACTGAATAATTTCTGAAAGTATTTGCTTGGTTCTTCTCTATAGTTCATATACCAGAAACTGCACAGGGAACGCTAGGCGACCCACTAAGGAGCCGAACCCCTGCCAGCTGTATCACGCAGAGACAGAATGTTGGTGAAGCACGTGTCTGGGCTTTTAGTTAGCACCTATGTCGGCAGTACGGTATAATACGTATGACATATGTGTATATGCTGCGGCCCTATTTGCCGAGCATAGCAAGGACAACTCAACGGTTCAGCCGACTGTCACTATTGAGCTTGTTTAAATCTGAGCTGATTTGTACATTACCACTTATCCTTGATGGTGAAGTTCACTGGGAATTTAAAATGTCGATGGAAGGTAATTTCGAACCCGGGAAAATAGGTATCTGCTGAGTGAACACTTCAGTTTTGTATTGTTCCTATATATGTATATATACCTATTCGATGCATGCTTCGATGTGCGCACATCCCTGGATAAAGAAGTACCCTATCTGGAGTGACAGGGCGTGTCAGTTGGCAAGACGCTGATGAACCTCGGTGATCAGGATTATTATTGACTAAATGAAAGCAAGTATTCCCAAACCGGTTCTGGACCAATCTACCCCACAAACTGCCGTCTCTTTCTGAACTATCATAACTTAGCTGACTTCAACGTGCCAAGTGGTTGTCCGTTAGAGACCCCTGCCACCCTTGCGAAGTTTGTTGAGCCGGGAAGCCAGTGGATCGGTGTGCGCCCATTCCTGGAAACACTCCACAACATCACCAACTCAGCCATTTCGGGAAGTAGATCTGCACTCGAGAAAGAAGTTAACAGTAAACTCCTGTTTTAGAGTTGCGAAACTTCCCATAGCAGTAATCAGAAGTCGAGGTGGCGAGCATACGTAGCTTTCGATAAATTCTCGTCGGGCCAGTACAGTTATATGAGAACGGGGTAGAAGAAAAAAACACGTCAGCGATAAGAAAAATCGATAAAAGTTCTACTTAAAGCACGGGCGGGGTGTGGGAATGTGGGGGGGGGGGTCATTGTCAGGGGCGGGGTGCGAGTCCTGACAATGACTGCTATTACCCACCCCCCCCCACATTCCCACGCCCCGCCCGTGTTTCAAGTTTTAACTTTTATCGATTTTTCTTATCCCTGACGTGTTTTTTTCTTCTACCCCGTTCTCATATAACTGTACTGGCCCGATGAGAATTTATCGAAAGCTACGTATGCTCGCCACCTCGTCTTCTGAAACTCCTGTTTCTAGATGCTCCCGTACGCACATCGGTTGGCCGCAATGAAACGTGCCCGCAAATTATTCTGCATTATGAGAGCAACAACTCAATCTCGTACAGCAGTCTGCTTCACGTAACAAGTTGAGCCTAATTACCTGTTTGAATTATTTTTCCAAAGTGGCTTCCCTAGAAATTCCGCTCGTCGATGCACGAAACAGCAAGAGTTAAAAGGACCGAAGCTAGGTAATTCCAATCAGGCGCCCAAAGCAAATACTTGGCAAATCCTTCCGTACATTAAGAATGTGTCTGAACTCTTTGAAAGACATCTGAGGAAACGCCAAATGCAAGTGGCTCACAGACTGACAACTACTTTACGCATTCAGCATCTAAACCCTAAGGATGGGGTTGCCTACCTTGATATGAAGGAAGTCGTTTCCAAAGTCTCAAGGCGCAAACACCGACCAAGTCTCGAGTTCTCCAAGCGCCTTTGAAATTTCAATTGTTTCTAGCACATTTGCTCAACGTTCTATGGCGACCTGGGGAACCAGCGTCGAAAATTTGCTCAAGGAGGTCTCCACCTTTCCCAGAGATCATATTTGACTTCAAATTGTATTTCTTGGTATGCCTGCCTTCCAATCCACACACACATATATATATATATATATGTGTGTATGCATCTATGCATATTTATTACTGAGGATTTCAAAAGCAGACTGCCCTTAATGTACACTAGCTTGCTCCAATAAAATATCCTCGCAGCACTGGGTCTATGTCGTCCTCTTTTCTGCTATGCTTGCTTGCGTCTAACCGCTTTCGGTCGTGGCTTTCCGATTTGCTCTTTTTCTTAATCAGTTAGTCAGCCAGTGTAGTTATAGTTAAAAACAGACGGTAGGTGGCAGGCTAGTGGTCTAAGAGTCAGGCTGCAATGACTCCTTCATAATGTGGCCTTTATGGCACTTCCACTGCGTGGGATCAGAGCCGGATGTGGCGGCACGCTTAGGTTCGCCTTACTGTGGAGCGGACGGTGGAAGTCGTCGGCAACGACGGTTGAACTTTCGTATGAAAATCGACTAAGTTGCGGACATTTTACTGGTACTTTTAAGCATGCGCACTGCGTGAGACTAGTAGTAAAACGGGTGTGTTAAAACGACAAAGCGTTTGCGAAATGAAAGCCGACACTGCACTCGCAGAGTTTCCGCGCAATATGGTCATCAGACTCGAAGTTCGTGTAGACAAAGTGTGTTATTGGCAGAAAAGAATCACCTTGATTAAACTCACGCCTCGCATTGGGGCCTCGTAGATCAGGTGGCTAGAGAGTGGGCTGTACCTAAGCCTACCCCTTGTTGTCGCGTGTTCGAGTCCTACCGATGCGCCGAATTTCTCGCAGTCGGGTCAAAATGAAGGACAAGGAGGACTGAAATGGCCATTTCTGGCTTTTTAGCCGCCATGCCCAAGTTAGTAACGTGCTTGTGACTATAGAATTGACTAATTAAATGGGCGGTCTTAAGAAGTGCCTTGCGTATCGCACTCATAGTTGATATTGCTCGCTCTTCAACTTTGGAGAACTGTGCTGTTGCGCTTAAGTCGCCAAGGTCTTTTTGTTCATTTTCGTTTCTAGGTGGTTTGTTTCCCAAGGGGTAGTGTAGTGGAGGCGCATTTCTTCTTTGTCTTGCTGACGCTTTGTGCACTGGCACACATTTGTTGGTACTGAGCTTCATGCGTCAGATCTCGCCCCTTGCCTGCAGCTGTTCTATGCCCTGGGAGTCTCCTTCGTCTTTTATCACCCTCAAAAGCTTAAAATCATCTGCAAAGAACGCTGCTACGATCACCTACTTTGTGCCGTTGCGGAGGGTCTAGGACGATACAGGCGGTAGAAGGTGATTGTAGTCCACCCGATTATTCTTCCCCGGTGTAAGGTCGCCTGAGAAGTAGCACAGTTGGCTTGCAGTCGCGTTCCTCGCCGCTGCTGGCGTTTAGTTCTCCTGAGCCACTGGATCGACAGTGTTTTGCCTGCCTGAACGCAGCGGCATTCACACGCGCGCATCGCGCGATTTACGATCGTCTTGGACTTGCCGGATCCTACGAGATGCCTGAATGTCGTTACCTTGGCGCACATCTGAGTTACCTAAAGGAGAGGCATTTAAAATTCATCCTCAGTCGGAGGTAAATTCCATGTTCTCTTCAAAATAAGGACTATCCTCGCAGTCTAGGTCGGAAAGGAGATGGTTCTGTCCAATCTGAGGACTCTGACAGTCGGCGAGTATCGCGACCGGAACCGTGTCTGCCACCTAGATGATGGGAAGCGGTCAGATGACATGGCGCCCAATGAATTGTCTGTGGTTTTCTTTAGGAACCTTGTGTTTGTCAACTGAAAATTGCCCTCAGTCGAGTTCAAGGTCATCGTGAAGATTTCGACTGCGCCAATAGGTTCGTTGTTGTTTATGGCGGAAGAATGACGAGTGTAGTTTACTGTCACCGTTCCCTATTACAAGCCCACATCTACCCAATGCATTAACGCGGGCGTCCCATTTATGCTGACTTTCGTGTTATAGGCGTTGCGTCGTCGTTGTTTTGGGCTGGAGATATGACGACATTATCTGAAGCTCCCGTAACATTCCACATCGTACATCGCGTGAAGGCGAACTAGAAGGCTGTACGATCATCAGAATAAGCATTTTGTTCGTCTAATAATTCAGGTTCGTAAAGGCTTCATTGTCAGAAACAGTGGGAATACCAGCGGCCGCTAGGTTGTGTCTATAGGTCGTTTAGCCAATCATCGGCCGAAATCACCTCTCTGTCGCACTTTAAAGACACTTACCCTACTGTCGCTGTGCCTTGGTCCTACCTATTTTTGACTGATGAACGTTCTTGCCTATTTGCGGTGTGGGATGATTCACTGCCCTCCTATGGAAGCATGATGTTCTGTATCTGAGGGTGTATCTCTTGTTTAATTGTGCCGTTCCGAACGTTGGCTTCTGAGTTGGAACAGTGTGCATGTTGTTTAGTCCTGCCATCATTGCTTGTCTAGAACCACAGATGGCCACTTCGGTGCCGACACCAGATACCTTCTTCGACTGCCTCTCTCCGAGGGAGAAAACAGGTGTCCGTTGCCTCCGACTTACGCATTTCCTTCTCGCACGAAGCGGCCTCTTTCAGGCGGTTTGTCTTATGTTGTGGCTCGGTGAGCGCGCTGGTCGGGAGAAGGAACCCCCGATTCATCCGTGGATCGTCTATGGCCATGTGAGTATTTTACATCTTCTCCTCCTCCTCTTCCTCCTCCCACCACCTTGGTGTGAGGGCTTGTTTATAGCAGGCCAGACCTCCCTTGGGTCGACTCTTCTTTTAACTTTCCGGTTTTCACTCTACGCGCACAACACGCGAGAAAATGGTTTAAAAAATGACTCACGCCTCTTATAATTGATGGTTTTATAACAAGAAACTGCAGCAGGTCTCAACTGTAACGTTGTTTTTTATTCCAGAGTATTACCCAGTTGACAACCTTTTAAATCGTCGCTTTTTAATTTCAGCGAATATCCCCATGTTACAATTGAAAAGTCAAATTGGCGAACACGTGTTTTCAGTAACTCTTCATCAGGCCAAAACGGTTACAAAGAAGTTTAAGTTATGCGAATTACCTGACTTATAAATGATTCAGGGACAATTAACACCCATCGTTCCCACGCCACTTGCATGACGGGGCGTGCTATGGCGTGGTCGGCGTGTCGTGGTCATTGGGTTAAAGGGGGGGCGAGGGAGAGGGGGGCCATAGGTTGTGAGTACGTCGGGTACCTTTTGCACACACCCTGGCATCAGGAAGTTGGGGCGACGTTGGAGTCGGCGTCGGTCACGGAAGACAGAGCGCCTGTGTCAGAGTCTTCTGACAGCAAAGCACTGGATTGGCTAGCCGTATAGCCACTGCCTCAGCTGTAGCTAGCACCCGTTGGCGTAGGCCTCTAGGGAAGCTTGCTGGTGTCCGGTAGACAATCTGAAAGGCTTCTTTGGCATCGACTCGGTGATTCGTATCGACAAGATGTGCGAGAATAGAACTCGAGATCGATTTCTTCTCACCTTTGCCTCAGAAATCCTCACCTTTCCTCAGAAATCATCTACGAAGTTCGAGTAGATCAATTTTTTAAGGTCTACAGGCTCAGACCGAGAATCATATACATGAATATTTGGGCCAAAATCCATCAGCCACAGCGGGTAACCGCGTAATATTCATTAACTGCCGACGGACAGTTAGTAGTAGATATAGGGTAAGGTGATACCTTACTAACAACATGGGTATTAACCGAAAGCCCAAGTTCGCAGTTAATTTCTGAGAAAATTAAAAAGCACAAATTGTAAATTGGAGTATCTACCAGGAAGCAGACAGGGAATGCCGAACCTCTGGTTTTCTGATGTCATAAATAAGGAACATGCGTATAGGCAGACAAGCAAGTCGTGGGGTTGCTTTTACAGCTTCAATTTCTAGGTCCCTTCTGGCCAATAACGCAGTTCAACAGTCATTTGCAGAATTGATGGTTTTCACTGAGCGAAGTTAGTGCCGTCATGAGATCACGATTTTCGTCATATCCTTGGTGTAACTTTGGCGAACGAATTAGTTGGCATTTTCTACCCGGCATGATGCGTGACATGTCAGGGAACCGACCGGCCGTAAGTTTTAATCACTCTCCTGATACAGACTGCTATGCCATTACCTGGTTTATCTCAGTGTATTGGCTTTGAGCCGCGGTAATTTGGGGGAGTTCATGCCAGCGATTTTGGCTCACCCCAAAAGGCGCTTGCCTACTTATTTAGTGCAATAAATATACCTTCCATTTTTCGCCCCGTTCGACGACAGGTTCGTAACAGAAGCTTAAAAATTCACGAGTACAACTCTCAAGTTCTTACTTTGATATGTAAATTCTAGAATACGTGGGGAATGCATTTTGAGTTCAGTTAAGGTTTATCAGAAGCATGTCGAGTTACTTCCCTCGAACCGTCAAATTTCTAATGCAAATCCTTAGCCAGATGAGAAAAAAGTAGATCAAAATTAAAATTATCTGTTGGCTTTTAATTTCCACAGAAAGTAACTGCGAACTTAGAGAAGTTCAGCATATCATAGGTCTATAGGCTCGGATTGAAGGTTTACGCATGAATATTTGGGCCGAAGTTCATCAGCCACAGCGGATAACCGCGCAATATTCATCAACTGCCGACGGACAGCTAGTAGTAGACAATAGGGTAAGGTGATACCATACTGACAGCCTCGGTATTAGCCGGAAGCCCATACACGCGTGCGGTATTATGCCGCTGCATAAAACAGCTGTGCGGAGTTCGGCTCATCAGTGAGTCCCCCGGCATTCCCCGTCTGTTTTCTGGTAGATACTCCAACTTAAAATTTGCTGTTTTTCAATTTCTTCAGCAGTTCACTGCGACCTTGGAGTAGATTAATATATACTAGACCTATTGCCTCAGACTGAAGTTGTATATATTAATATTGGAGCCGATGTCCATAAGCCACAACGAGTAACCGCGTGATATTCGTTAACTGCCGAATGGCAGCTAGTTCTATACTTTAGGGTAACGGGATACCTTCATAACAGCAGGGGTATTAGCCGAAAGCCTAAGTTCACAGTTAATTTCTGAGAAAATTTGAAAGCACAAATTGTAAATTGGAGTATCTACCAGGAAGCCGAACGCCTGGCAGCTCTCTCATGCAGCGGCAGAATGCCGGCAAGACACGCGTGTATGGGCTTTCGGCTAATGCCTGTGCTGTTAGTATGGTATCCCTTTACCCTAGATTTAAATTATCACACTAAAGCGTTTGCAGCCATGGACATTACATAGATGGAACACAGATGCGTGCAAGTGGTAGACAAACAATTATGGTTACGGCTTCTTTTGCTGAAGGAGAAGGAATGAGGGAGCAATAGAAAGAGGAGGGATAGTGGCCCAAAGAGATCGCGGATGGATACCATTACTGTTCGCATTGGTGTACTCGACACCGAGTTATTCCCTGACCCGTTTCTTGTCGGTCATGGCAAATACCTCAGCATCGCCACACCTGGATCCTTGGTGACACTCGATTGCTTCCCGAAAGACGAAAGACAGGGATGTAACCGCGACAGACAGATAGTTTGTTCTCGCCAACACGCCCACCCAGGCATCGGCTCGTCAAACTAGCATGCTTGCGGGTGGGTTACGATACATGCGTCCGTTTCTTGCTCTTTGGTGATGAAATTCTTTATACTGCATGCAGTGATGATGCTGACTTGTGGGCGATGCAGGCGTAAAAATGATTCAGCCACCGAGAGATCACTTCCGAGTTTACGCATGTACGAGAAACAGGGGGAAACATTTATGCAGCAAAATATCCCCATTGAGAGCGGGACTTGTAGCCGTATTTGAAGCATAAAAAGACCGAATATCTGTTATGCTGAAGTAACCGATAGAGATGACCTAACCCTTTACTAGGTGAATGATAAGCCCGGTGTATTAGAGCACTGACACAGCTTCGTTTGTGAGCTCAGGGATAACTGTTTGGAGAACCTAGCGTAATCACCCCCCTATATTTGTTTTAAAGGTACCAGCACTGAACCCTTGTATGCTCGCAACCCAAGATGGCAGGATAAGGAGGGGGGATAGTGACTCAGGGAGACTGCGAACGACTATCGCTACTGCCCCCTCACACCCAGGTGATACCTTACTAACAGTATGGGTATTAACCGAACGACCAAGTTTGCAGTTAATTTCTGAGAAATTTGAAAAGCACAAATTGTAAATTGGATTACCTACCAGGAAGCAGACGGGGAATGCTGGGGACCCAGTGATGAGCCGAACCCCTCGCAGCTGCGCAATGCAGTGCCGTATTCGCGCTTAATGGACCTCACTATTTCTCCCGTCTCATTTACTGCAAGTCAGGGCTGAGCTGTCTGGACATAAGGTTAATCGCAGCACCTTACTTGGCATAAAGCTGCGCATGCAAAACAGTATTTGAGGGCCCATCAGACAGGGAAATGCGACTCCTGCCTTGGTTTAGTGCAGGGGCGTTGCGACCCACTTAGGCACCTCCACCCCGACTAGATTTCCTACTTGTGTCCTACAGCCACGGTTGTAGCGCCAACATCTCTGGCGAATCGGTCCACCGGTCTAGCTGCCCTTTTGAGCTGAGGGACGGAAACGGATTGTACGCAACTTTTCACCCGATTGACTCACCGTTTGTGATACAAAAACGTGGGAGGATAGTATACTTATGTCTTTAGCTAGCATGTGGCGCGAGAGGTTGGAGTGGGTACGTCACCGAAGCAGAGGTCCATAACCAGCGACCTATCTCTGGAAAGTTGGGCCAGCTACTTAATCGTCTCGAGGCTTGTTGTGGCCCCAGCCGGATCGAGTGACGGTGGCGTACGTGGTCCAGTCTAGTTCTTATTGCTTTACTGTGCCATATCCGCCGTCGTTGCTGCGGATTAGTTACCGGGAGTCAGCCGTAGGATGGGCACTTGCTGGCTCGACCGTCGCATCCGCAGTGGTGGGCGCAGGACTTGTGCAGCATGCGCCACATTCGGAGTCGCGATGGCCGGAGCGGAACAGCACGTCTGCGCGGGCCACACACGAGCTACTCCAGCAGGTATGTACCACTACTGCTATGACTACTCAAGTAGCATGTATTTTTCTCATTGATTTTCGACGCCCTTAAAAATGCTCGGCTTCGCCAAGGTAGCAGAGGGAGAGACCGAAGAAAAGGGAATGCTGGTTGATGCAGTACTGTTAATCGTCCACCCTACCTTCACACATATATACAGTAGGTGGGCAAACTCAGGAAATGTCAGCCGAAAGTCCGAAATGCATTTTCGTTTCGAAAAGATTAATTAAGTAGGGTTGTAAAACTACTCAGCCTGCGGCTTAATTCTATAATGTTTCAGTTACCTCAGGATGCCGGCTTTCGAGCGAACAGCCTTTCGGCTGCATGAAAAGACCACACTCTGTAAAAAAAATGACTACTAAAGTAGCACGCATTTTTCTCCATGATTTTCGATGACCCTAAATGTTCAATTGTATTTCAAGGAAAGCATGCACAAAAATATTCATTCTTTTGCGCATTCGGTGGAAAATTACGTCTTTTTTACTTTTATACGCGTAGGAAGGACATAATTCGGTTTTCAACAAGTTTCTAATTGTGAGACTTTTTTATACCGTGAAGTGGCCGTTCATAATTCGTCATGTCACAGCATTTACCAATGTGGCTTGTAAAGTTAACAATATGGATCAGATCCGCTGCTAAATTTTATGAACCCTATATGATCTCCTCCTAATACCGTAGATAAATGTAAGGATTTCCGTACGCAGAAAGTATACGGCTTGTAGTTTGGAAATCTTGAATTCAAGTGTAAAGGCTGGTCGGGTTCAAAGTTATTGGGGAATTGGAAAAGTTTTTAAAAATCGAATTATAACCTTCTTTCGACTATGAGATTGGAAGAAGACGTAATTTTCTACCGAATGAGCAAAAGAATGAACATTTTTATGCATGTTTTCCATGAAATATAATTGGACTTTTAGGGGTATCGAAAATCAATGAGAAAATTTTCTGCTTCTTAAGTTGTCATTTTTTACAGAGTGTGGTTTTTTCATGCAACCAGAAGGAAGTTCGTTCGAAAGCCGGCATCCAGAGGTAACTGAAATAGTATAGAATTATGTTGCAGGCTGACTAGTTTTACAACCCTATTTAATTAATCTTTCGAAACGAAAACGCATTTCGGTTGACTTTTCATGAGTTAACCCACGTACTGTATGTACCAGATTTTAACAAGAAGAGGCAGTTCTAGCCCATCTGAGTGGGAGTGTCATAGAGGCCACATTCTGACGGGAGTCAGGGATCCTAAGAGGATCGACTTACCCTGGCAGTTGGCCACGACTGCTAGCGCACCGTGGCAGATTCAGACGCGTGGGTCTTTTGTGGCAAAGAACGCGCCAACGTGCTGTTAGGCAGTGGGAGTTTCCAGAGTCGATCTTACTCATTCTTCTCACTCCCCTCGCACCAATCCGCTGTCCGATCCGGTCAGCCAGTTGGTGTTGCAATTGGCTACGAGAGGCTGGTGCGTTCTGGGGCCTGCGCCTGGGCGTGACACTTCTCACGGTATGCGCGGACTCTCCGCTGTCCGGTTTATGCATTCTGTGTCGCAATCTAGCTGCCGTTTTGGTCCAGCGCATCCCCAACCCGGCCTGTCTACTGTCAGTCAACTACGCTCCCCCCCCCCTTGTTGCCATTCTAGGCACTTGTCTACCTCGTCTCCTCAACCGGCCTCTCATCCCGCTTCCTCTCACGCATCTCCGTCTACGCAGTTTGTGCCATTCAGGTGCACTCTGCCTACCTCTTCCTCACGGCGCCAGCACTCGGCTACCAGATCTGGCTGCGCATGCGTTCGGCACTGCGCTCTGTGGCGGTGGCCGGGGCCAGTTTTCGCCTCCTCTCCACCAATCAGTACTCGAGTGCCAGCTACGTGGACAGGCTGGGCTGTGGCCTCTTGGGCCTGGTGAATGGTCTGCTGGGCGTCCTCTCACTGCCCTTTGAGGCCACCAGGATGCACCAAGAGGCACAGAATCATGAGCATGCAGCCACACTGGGCCTGCTCAACTGCAACTCCTTCCATTGGTTCGTCGGGGGCCTCTTTTTGGTCGCCTTCATCGCCTACACCTTCCCCGTAATGGTCGTGCTGCCGGCGTCAAAGATAGCTTCGGGTGAGTGCTGTTTTGCAAAACACTGCCATTTTCATGGAATATTGTGTAGTTCTGACGGCGGCTTTTGTGCGCGGATACTGTCATTTCACAAGCAGACTAATCATCACTTACTCCGAGACGGATGATATGTTAGCTTAGTGGGGATTCTGAAAGAACAGCAGGACATTGGCTGAAACCTAGGACAAGGGGGACTGGGACAGCTGTTTCCGGCCGGTTGGCCACACAACCGGCCACACACGCCCCCAAATCTGGACGACCTGGAATTCGAGCCCGGGCTCTGTAATCATCGAGCGTGAAGTAACCCCGCCTTTCAGCACTGAGCCACGGTCCCGTTGTCCTACTGGTTGTTGACTGGAATGTTAGCAGTGGGGCCTCTTTTTGGTTGCCTTCATCGCCTACACCTTCCCAGTAATGGTCGTGCTGCCGGCGTCAAAGATAGCTTCGGGTGAGTGCTGTTTTGCAAAACACTGCCTTTTTCATGGAGCCCCTTATTGGGGATGTTGTGTAGTTCTGACGGCGGCTTTTGTGCGCGGACGCACCAGCGGACTGATCATCACCGACTCCGAGGCAGGTGCTATATTAGCTTAGGGGGAATTCTGAAAGAAAAGCAGGACATTGGCTGAAATCTAGGACAAGGCGAACCGGGACAGCTGTTTCCGGCCGGTTGGCCGTCATCAGCAAGCCACACACGCCCTGGATGACCTGGGATTCGAGCTCGGGCTCTGTAATCATTGAGCGTGAAGTAACCCTGCCTTCCAGCACTGAGCCAAGGTCCCGTTGTCCTACTGGTTATGGTCTGGGGTGTTAGCAGTTGTTCGGGGACGTCAACGGACCGATTAACGAGACGTGCACGTCCCGTTGCGCCTTGGAGCCCTGTCAGGCAGTGCCAAAGCGACCAGTACTGATACAGGAAGAACTGTGGAGCTCCAGATTGTGCGCTAAATCGCAGGGGCGTGAGCATGCCTCTCAACCAGGTCAGCGAGCGTCCTTCGCAGGATAAGAACTTAAATATGTCTTTTGTTAGAAAATACTACTTGTGGGGCATTTCAGTAGTAGTGGCCCCTGGGCGGAGTTCCAATTAAATGAATGAGACGTCAAATGCTTTCTTCCAGCTGCGAACGGTTGAAGCCATCTGCACCGCCCTCATTCGCGTGACGAACATATTGTGAAAGTCTTCCCATCTTCTTGTAGACAGGACCGAGGAACGCGTCATTTCTTACGATCTCTATGTGTGAGATGGCATCCTTAGATGTAGTGTTCGCGAGTATAGACCACTTTCGCATCCGGGTATTCGGTGGTCCTTCTTTTTTTCGTAATTAAGGACGATCTTTCCTAACACCAGATTTCACTTTTTTGTGCTGGATTGCTAACGCAGGAATTTCATCCACCTCAAAGGCCTCTTGGCGTAGTTAGCACGCAACACCGTTTCTCAGCACTCTCTGCTGCATTTGCTACCGTAGGCGGCATAACTACGGCTAAACAGTCTTTACCACCAGAAAACACATTTAATAACCCCTGTTATGTTGCATGATTTGCCATAGAAATAGCTGGTTCGAAACAGACCTAGTTCATTCACACACGGCTTCTTCTCATTCTACTGTTCTTCATTTTGTCAAGACGGCTCCTCATCTGCGGACGGCTTCCTCACAAGGCTTACACGCCTGGCGGACAAGTGTTGCATCCTCGCCTGGCTTCTGATCCTTTTCACTCGCGACTGCAACCTCAACTACTGGCAGAGTCAGGGCGTGGACTACTACCTGCAGACACGCTTCCTCCTTGATGATGTTCTAGTCATCCTCTCCATCCTGGTGGGAGGCAGTCTGCCCTGGCTCGGTGGCGTCACCGCCAAAGCGCGAGCGGAGAGGGATAAACTGAGAAAGCGCGACTAATTCTCATCGTCCGCACTGACCCCCTCCTCTGAGGATCGATTGCCACCGCGCAAAGAACGGCGTCTGCAGCCCCTTCGCCTACCCGTACACCACGTTCCCCTTTTTTGTATGCCTCCGAGCGCGTTGTTTTACTTTTCTTTTCGGCGAATTCCCCCGACTTTGGGTTCCTCGCTTTTTATTCTGTAATTTACGAAGAAGCGGAGGAGGCCCTAACGACAGAGATGTCTGTCATGGCTGTGCCCTATCCTTTTTGCTCAATTCCCCTTCTTTTAGCTGCTTCTGTACCAAGCCCACCTACGCAAACCGGACAGGGTCGTTTCTAAAAACAAACAATAATGCCTACTTAAATGGGACAGTAACAATGTCTTAATCACGTGGATTTTCTCACGGGAAATATCGGGGGAGCACTGCTGCCAGTTCGACTGTCGTTGCTGGCGGTGTCCACCGTGTGCTCCACAGCTAGGTGAGGTTTACGTCGGTCAGCTGACAGGAGATGATGTGCTAACTTTGCAGAACGCTTCTTACAATCAACAGAATTCTCTGAAATGGGTAGTGCGTCTCCTAACTGCTAAATTTACGCGGATAGCTAGTATTTGTCAATTTCCGCATTTGTTTTAGCATGATTATGCCACTCAGAATGAATCGAACCGGTCGGATGAGATAGTATATGGAAAGATTCTTCAAAGTTTTGCTGTTTTCCCGCCGCCGAAAAATTGCAAATAGGAGCAGACAATTTGTGTCGGAAATACTGACTTAGGAAAAGGACGACAAATAGCGTGGACATGGGATTGTTCATTGGACATTCGAAAAAAAGAGTAAGTGACGTCTGCTGCACGCACGCGTGCTGCTGGGCAGGACGGACACGGAATTAGGAGCTCCCCGCAATGCGTCCAGCCCCCTGATCTCACTCTAATCTCCCTAGAATTGAGTACAATACCATCTGTATTTGGGGGGGGGGGGTTACGGGATCCCTGTTCCTATGCCCTGCTGCGATTAATGTCGCTGCCATTGCTGGCGAAGCATAGTTCTGTGGCCTTGAAGGTCACCAGGTCAAGTTTAGTCGTATAATTAATTCATTCTGTCTAACGGCAGAGATTAGCTAGCTGTAAGAGCTAATGTATATTGTCGACCGGGTTGGTTGCCGCGACTTATTCGTTGCCTTCCGGTCAGGGCAAGGAGTTATAGTGTGGAGCTCGGGAGTTGGAGTATGTTTCTGCGTGCCTAACATGTCCGCGTCAGTAAAACTACGAAATCGTGCGAGGCCGATATGTTACGTCCTCAGTAGTATTAGGAAATGAATGATTCCTACGTGGGAAGTATACAGCTGGTACTTTTGGAGTCTCAACTACATGCACATCGACAGATCGGATGAAAAGTTATTCGAAGTCTGAGGAATATTTGTGGGGCCGGGAGGTCCCATATTTTTGTAAATAAAATTTGAAGAAAACGTGGTTTACCATCAAACCATTAAATGAGTGCAGTAAATGGTTCCCTACAGATATGCATGGATGAACATGAAAGCACATGCTGCATAAGTAGTCATTTTTTGCTGATTGTAGTTTCTTCAGGCAGTCGGGATGATATGCATTTAAAAAACTGTCCCCTGTTTTGACTGGAATTCCTTGGAATTAAGCTGCACAGTGATTAATAGCAGAACTCCAGCTAAGAAATCCCCTTAAATCGAAAACACATTTCGGCATACATTCTTCGAGATGGGCCGACAGGATCAGGAAAGATTGCTGGGAGGCCTTTCGACCTGGGGCCAACATGAGGTGTAGGATCGTGCCGCATGTGTGCCACGACTGTGTTCTCTAAGTAACTGACATCCGCCGTATGGAGGTCCGTCAAGTTTCCTCCTCAACTTGGTTATTTTAAATTCCAGAATTTTGGGGAAAAGTGTTAGAGCTTTTTTAGACGAGGCATATTACAAAGGGTGACCAATTCTCTCACTGGGAATGCCCTGCCATTTTTTATGTTACTGCCCTCTGTCATCGGCAGTCACATGAAATATGGCTGTCTTTTTGTAAAGCACCCTACATGTTCTGCTTAAAATGCAAGCGGTTGTCAGTGAATCGTAAAGGCGATGAAGGGGTCTTCAGGTAGACGCCACTGTTCTCAGGCAACATAAGGGACCGAATGTGAATCACGGAGGGCAGAACTGCCTTTCCTACATTCCGTTTAAATAGGACTGAAAGGGACAAGATGCAAACGATCATTGCTTCACAGCAGTCCACTGCCGAGAGCTGTACACGCTCAGTTTAGACGAAAGCTTTGGAGGACAACGACCTTTCCCTCGAAGGACAGAGAAGTTGTTAGGCAGTTCCGGCCTCTTGGACAAGACCAATTAGTTTTCTGGGATGATGGTCCTGTCTCTGAAACTGTCACCTCTTAATGTTGTATCGTTGGCTAACAAAACTTTTTAGCCTTCCGTCTAAAAAGATTTCTGAACATGTCAAAACTGGGAACCAAGACGAAACTACAGACAGTTTTAACCAACGGCTAATTAATAATAATAATAATGGTAATAATTTTTATTCAAGACCCGCGAGGGAATAATTTTTACACTAATTTTGGAATTTTAGACGGGTATACAGAATTATTAGAGCACTTAATTCATAGTCTTTGAATAAGTAGCGTGTTACGAAGAATATTGAGCGAGCAGTAAAAATCTCCTAACATAAACAAAATGAGTATGATTAGAAAAAAAACTCGCTCCTTAGTTTATAAAAATCAGGCAGGACCGGACTGTATATGGCGTTGTATGACGGATTTCATGGAGAGGTGAGTAGGCGGGTCAGGCAGGACTGGCCTGTATGTAGACTTGAACAAACGGATCAAGTCAGGAATCACCATGGGAGAATTCACGTGCCGGATGAGGCCGTTTATGTGAAAGTGGCGAATTGAAAACCAGTTTCGAGGCGATAAGAACCCAAATGTTATCAGTTACATTCAGCCGAATCCAGCCGAGGAGGGGGCAAGGGAGATGCGACCAGACTACTAGTGTATGGCAAATACAGAAGGTTTCGCCAAGAGCGTCGATAGATCGCATTCTGTGAGGGCACGAGGGATGGACTGAAAAATTAACACTTGATGAGGGATCCTAGGAAACAATACGACTCACAAAAGAGGGAAATGTAAGCAGAGGAAGATTTGAACTATTAGTAATGCGAAAGAGGAGACAGAAGCCTGGTTCTAGTCTTCGAACCCGTATAAAGTTTAGGGTTATTAGCTGGCATCTGTCTGAGTAGGATATATTGGGATGTCCCCCATCCAAAAGTTTAGTATAAAAAATTCTTTTGACATTTTCAATTTTTAAACGACTAGCCTCGTTCATCAGACCAAAGAATGGGCAACAATACTCGAGAATGGGAAGTACAAACATACGATAGTCTTAATTTAATTTCAGGAAGATAGAAATTGTAAGAAATAAAGCCACAAATCTGGGCAGCTGTAGCTGTAATTCTGTCATCAAGATCTCAGCACACGTGAAACGCTAAGGGACTCGCTGACGATTGAATTCCTTCACACCTGCGTCATACGGCGGCAGAATATCGGTGAAACTTGTTTGTGGGCATTTGGCTGGTCTCTGTGCCATCGGCATATTAAATTATTTGCAATGTCTTCACTTCGACTTACCAGAGTTCAGCCAAGAGTAAAGTGCGGACCCGAAGTCATATCGCTAAGATATTTCGCGCCGTTCTTGATCCGAACGGGATGGTACAGTTTCACTGGATCGATCCTGAGTGAACTGTCGCATGGGCGCGTGTGGCATTATGAGTAACGGTCTTTTTTGGTCGCTCAGAAGGCGCGGAGTGGGAAAGTTTTCTGATGTGGAGTTCTCTGTTATGGACTTGAGACGAAGGGGGCAGAGGGTTGGTCTAGGGAGTAGGAAGGGCATGTGTGAAGGAAGAGGAAAAAGGAGGACGGCTAAACTAATGCAGTTTTTCGGTTCAATAGGGATGATCTTTCGTGCCTAGCACGGTGCCGATGAGGGAGTGGACTGCGTTTCCAATGCAGTGACATTGAAGTCCGTTTTGTTTTAATCAGTAACAATAGGCTCTTTAAAGAACTTGACACGACTTTGAATGAGATGTAGAACAAGCACGTGCATGTTTACCTGCTGACTACTTTGTTCTGATTTACAAGTTTGTAACTGTGAGGTTACTGCTAACTTTGTTTCCTGGATAGCCTTCTTACTGTGCCCAACCAATGGGTTTATCACATATACTACGTCGGGGTCACCAATGTTTGTTCTATGTCTCATGCAAGTTGTGTCAAGCTCATTAAAAAGCGTATTGCAACTGATTAAAACAAAACGGAATTGTGTCGCTTGCGAAGCTCACTAAGTTTCTACCTCTTTATCATCGGCTTACGGCACAACTGCTCCTTTGGCAACCCCGCTAGCGTTTTTTCCAAGGATGAATGGGACAGCATCGGGATAGACGCTAGGAGAGGCTAAAGGCGGGACTGAGCACGGGGTGGCTCTATGGATACTTAATGCGTCATCGCAGTCAATGGAACACGTAAACTCCTAATCTTTTCCCGTGAGTTTGTGTAGAGGGTTGGCAATGTGTACAGATTTCCGAACAAACCATCGATAGCAAGAAGTCAATCCAAAGAAAGAACGGGGTCGCGACAGGTGAATCGGGGTTGGCGAGGTGCAAATTTGTTACGGCCGATCCGGAAGAGCGGTTATATGGACAGTCGAGGTCTAATACGTCAGTTTAAGTCACTTTATTATGGGATTGGGGCTTTCGCACTTGAGCCCCCTATTCCTGTAGAAAAACAGCAGAAACAATTGTTACGTCAGTAAATCTGGGGCACGCTGACGGCCTCTGACAATGCGGTATGTTTGAATGAGATTGCCGCACAGTTACCAGCAATTGGGAGGAAAAATATTAGTTCAACCAGCTTGGTTTCGTTTGACAGATGATCAGAATTCTTGGCTGCCTTCGTAGCCACCGACTGTACATTTTCCAGTTGATGATAATCCTTCTTGA